AAAATGCGGGATTTATATTGCAAGCGAAAAAAGCTCGTTTATTTTGTTAACAAAGATACAGATAAAAATATGTGTATTACATCGCGTACGCGTATAAAAAGAAAAAAGGAGTAACGTTTCAATCAAAAATTCGTCAATGAAATGAAACTCGAGGATTAAATATACTCTTCGAGTGGGTATTTTTTTTGTGTGGCTATCGATATCATCGGAGTAATAAAAATTTCATCAGTTACGTGAAACTAATTTTTTTTTTTGTTTTTTTTATTTTTTGTAGCTTGATGATTGATTTTTATATATATCTCGTAACTTTCAATCAAATTCTATTGAAAAATGTCCATACGGCTTGAAATGATAAAACTGCTTTTCATTTCGAATGTATTTTCATGATACCTCGTGATATTGCAGCGAAAACTCGGAATGGACTAAAAACTAAATATCACACACACCCACACACACACGCACACACACTCTTGACACGTATGAATATTCGCAAAAGGCTTGCGAGTTCATTCGAGGATGTAACTTCTGTATTATGGTTACGCTCGTTATAAACACTCGGCCATAGGAAAATGTCATTGAAAATGGTTTCAAACGTGTACTACGCCTAAAGTATATACTTCCGACGCCTGTAATTCGAACTTATTCTTCAAACCACTCGACAAACCGTCTCATGGAAAATTCTCGACTCAAGTCGAGAAAATGTCGTTGATTTTTCTCTCTGGTTTTAACAACGATACCGCTGAAATATACAAGCTTGGCCTGTACCACCACGCCCGAGCCAAAAGCGCAAAACAACAAAAGAACGAGTCTCGCTATACGTTATCTGTAAATTTCGCCGTCCTGCTACTGCTGCTGCGGCTACGGCTGCTATAATGCAGCATTCGAAGTTTATATCATAGGGCAGTAACGTAACGTCACAGCAGCAAGATTTTACGACTGGTCGTCCGAGTTTTACGAGTCCAGCTGCGTTGGACGGTGTGAAGTTTCGCTTGGCTTTGGAGCTTATAACTATGAATAAGAAAAAAGTCGAGCCCTTGGCGTATATAACGATATTGATTATTGCAGCAGCAGCAGCTACAAAAAAAAACTAAGCAATAATCTCGGCCTCGAAGTTGTGGAAGTATTCGAAGCGTTCGCGAGAGTTTCTGTATATAATAATAAGAACGACGTAAAGTCCGAGTTAGTTTTTTTTTTTACATGAAAGCACAGCCCATTGCAAGGCTATTACAAGTCTAATTATTTCCAGCCGATCTAATCTTTCTCTCGTTCAACGAACCCTTTAGCGCGCGCTTCAGCAGCAGTGCTCGCAGCTCGCGTCCAGCCCTTCTCCCAAAAAGGAATGCATGAAATGTATTATATGCGCTGTGCGATGGATATATACATACCGTAGAGAGGAATTTATAGGATATTACTATATATACATTTTAAGAGGATCGAATATGCTAGCCGTAGCCACACACACACACACACATATACAGCACACACCGCACCGCGAATCTACGTTATAATTGCGCGGTTCGCCGCATATGCCCTGGTGCAAAAGCAAGCGGGCCATGGTCTTGCACGAAAGCTATTTCAGCACTTTTTTAGCGAGAGTAAAGAGAGATAGAGAGAGAGAGAGAAGAGAGCGAGGGGCTTTATAGATAAACCGTAGCTGATAACAAGCCACGAGTTAGCCCCTGAAGTGCACACACACACACACACACATTAATAAAGCACATACATACTCGAGAGAGAAAGAGAGATGCAAAATTTCGATTACCTAGCTGGCTGGCCTGGCGCGAATGAAGAAAAGTCCGTTCGATTTCGTCGCAAATTTTGTAGCTACTACGAGAGAGAGAGAGAGAGAGAGAGACAATAAAAGAGAGTCGAGGCAAAAAAACTTTCATAAAACTATATGCGCTCGGGTGAGCTGGCAAAACTTTCTTAATCACTTTCTTTTTGGATCTGTGTCTGTGTGTGTGTGTGTGCGAGCTTGCGCGAGCCAGCCAGCCAGCTATATCCAGCCAACGAGTGCTGCTACGCGCGGCTTGGCCAGTATTGCGTGGTGCTGCTGCACCAGTACGGCTCAGCCAAAAAAAAAACGAGAGAGAGAGAAAGGAAAAAGGCAAGTATATACGTATATACCGCCGAGGCGCATATTGCTCTCTCAGTCTGGCTGGTGTAGGTAGTTTCTATATGAAAGCCACCAACTGTTATGAGTTTAGATTCTTCAAAGTGGTTAATTAAAGCTCGGCCTCGTGAGCTCGGCGCGTCCGCCACCGCCTTTTTTCCTCCCCGACGAATGTGTATAGGTATATCTTACGTGTGTATTTAGTAAACACACCCACAAGCGGCATACTTTAACTGCGTTTCATAGCTTGTGCTACGCGACGGGCTTGGTATAAAGGAAAAAAAAATGTGAGAATATTAATGAGCCCAGCTAGATATTTCTGCAAAGAATGAAGAATTTTCGATAATGAAACAAAAAAAAGAAGAGAAAAAAAATTGAAGCACAAAGTGTCTCTTCTTCTTTCGCATTTTTCTCTACTTCTTTCTCTTTTTGTACCCTCCATAGTCGGCACACTGCGACTTATAGTATCGCGAGGTGTCGTTAACCCGAACTTTATACAGCGACAGCTCGAGAGAGAAACATCAACGATCGCGCCGTACGTACAACGTAATACAGCGTCAGATCGGTTTCGAGTTTCTTCTTTCCTTCTTCTGTATACAGCTATAGGCCCGCCCGCGCCCTCGGGAGAGAAGATTTCTTCGCTCGAGCTTCACATAGCTTTCGAGCTACCCTTTTGCGACAATTGTTGTATACGTATATATATATCGTCGCGCGCGAACTTCGATAAAGGCACTACTACTGCAGGGCTGCTACTGTTGCTGGGGTGGGTGGCGGTGGTCGGTTCAACGCACTGAACTATAGCGATGCCGATAGCGACGGCTCGTTCTTATACTCTCGCGAGGCTCCCGTTATATACGCGTGCATTAGAAATAAGCGAAATTCTTTGTTCGACACGTTTTCAGCGCAGCGCTACTACGACTGGGAAGATTTTCATTCCTTTTTCTTTACTTTGTTTTATTTTTTTCGAAAACTTGCCCTTAAGAAGATCGATCCGCACGAGGAATACTTCGGCGAGACTCGGGGGCAAAAAGGTACAGTTCTTATTTTTCTTTTTTTTTTCATCGCATCAAAAAAAAAAAAAAAAAGAAAAAAAAAGAGGAAGTTGTAAAAAAAGAAAGTGGAAGAAAAACAACGAAATAGCTGGCGCGTAAATAAAGTGCGAAGAATCGAGAGAGAACAGAGAACTGCCTCGTCACCGTTGTGCGGGCACAAGACAAGCTAGGTTATACTACGTGATAGACAAAAGAGAGAGAAGGCAAGAGTAAAAAAAAACGTACCTACACGTTATACACGGGGTGCGCGAAAACAGCCTTGGTAATCTATCAAATTACAAAAGAGCCCTTGCTGCTTGGTGCGTTGGTTGGTGGCGGATGGGAGGAGGAGGAGGAGGAGGAGGAGGAGGGCACACGGGTATGGGCACAAAAGTCTATACGGAGAGCAGCCGCTCGCTCATGCAAACCCTTCATATATATACGCGTGTATAGAGCGCGAGGCACGAGGGAAGGAGAGAGAGAGAGAGAAAGAGGCAGTCGGTGCAGCGCAGCGTTCACTACTCGCTCGCTCGCTCGCCGACTTTCTTTTCACTCGCTAATTACACTTTTCGCTTACTGCTCGGCCAAGCATGCATACACGCGTATACCCTCGCACACACATACACATACACACTCGTATAATGTACACCCGCTCACACACACACACACACACACACATACAAATAGCCGCACGTTGCGCGGGTGTGTCTCTGTATGTGCGTGTATGCAAGCTTTGCTTGCGGATTAATTAATTCGAAGTCGAGCGCGCAGCAGCAGCAGCAGCAGCAGCACGCTTGCACCGAGCGAGCGAGCGAGCGACAACGAGGTCATTGCCTATTGTATTTATTTTATTTACTTTAGAGAGTCCTCGTTTTCTCTTTCTCGCGCAGGGCCGTATTTTATATAGACAAGGAGCTTTTGTCTAGTCGAAGTGCGCGGGAAGCCGGAGCGGACAATTGTGATACGCGAGAAATTTTCCTAATCTCCGTCGTAGTAGTAGTAGTTGCAGATCCGTATCACGCTGTTCGCGAGTCGCGCAAATAGTGCGCAGAGCGGCGCGTGAAACTGCGTGCGTATAAATATTCATATACACGAATTCGTGTTACATACGTGTGCGTGCATATCACGTAAGCGACGCGTGTCTTCGACACTTTCCTCTCCTCTCCCTGTAAATGCATATACAGCACGGCTGTACACGTATAGTACTGCATATCTACAGCAAAGGTATGGAGTGGTGAAGGAGGAGGAAGAAGAAGACGAAGAAGCTGGTGCGGCACACGAGCTTGTTAGCGTACGACGAAGGGGGGGGGGGGGTATAAACAACACTTATTTCCTAATTAAGATCCCACCCTGCGAGCTGCGTTGCTTTACTTTCCCCATGTACTACTATATGTACTTACTGCTGCTAGTGCTGCTGCACACTAGACTCGTGTGCAGCTCGCACCGGATAAGGCTTTTTAGCGCGAGGATGCGCCGCGCGAAGTATATATCAGCGAGTTAGCGGTGAGAGAGAAACACACCAAGTCTCGGATAGATAAGTAGATAAAGTAATACACGGTACAGCGCCCCGGTATATATATAACAATAATAAAGTTAACGTAACGTAGCGAGGAGATACATTGGAGACACGACGACACACTGCGGTTGTTTATTACATCAGTCGATGGGGAAAAGAAACGGCCGAGTTAGGTAGACGTAATATAGGGTTGAGACGCTCGAAGGGCCGGACTTTGCTCGGTTCGGCTCTTCCGATCGCACGGACACATTGATCGACAAATTGAATTTGGCTCGTTTTCGGCGAGGCGTGGATTAAAAGCTTTAGTATCGTAGTACAGAAGTTAGTTATTCGCACTCACCAACTGGCTGCTGCCGCCGCCGCTGCGCTGGCCTGCTGCTGCTGAGGTATCGTCGACAGGGCGCCCGGAGGCACGGATCTCCTAACTTGTTGACAGCAGCTCGCAGTTTGTTGCGTCGCCCTCGTTTGCGACTGTTGCTGCTGCGACGACTGCGACGACTGCGACGACTGCGACGTTTCGGCGCAGCATTGCGGTTGCTGCTGTTGCTGTTGCTGTTTCGAGTAATCGCGATTTTTCGGCCTCAGCAGAGGCGAGGTGGAAAAGCTCGAGTCGCGCTGGGCGTTGGAGCTCGAGCTGCCCGTACTGCTGGAGCCCGGGCTGCCGCTCAGACGCGCCGGCGATTGATAATTCAGACCGCCCCTGAGCCGGAAGTGGCCCTGATGAGGCGCCGTCTGATACGGATAGCCACTGGGCGGCAATCGGTAGTGAAAGCCACGCAGGTAGGATTCGCTGCCAGCGGCGCTCGTACCACCGCTCGCGGCCGCCTCGGCCGCCAGTACGAAGCGTTCCGTCGTCGTGGACGTGGTCGTCGTGTAACGGTCCGAGAAACGCTCCGGATACAGCACCTCGGGCGGTGGCTGCGGCACGTACCTACACACACACACAGACACAGACACACATTTCAGAGTTAAAGAGGTTGGAAATGACGGAATTCGTTCGATGATGGTTTGAGAGAGAGCTTTTGCGACTTACCTCTCCACCGGTGTGTGAGCCGCCGGTGGAACGTAGCTACCGCCGGACGACAACGAGCCGGCGCAGCTGCTGCCGCCTATCCTGCCGCTCGTCGTGCTGTATCTGTCCTTGGGCTTGGGCAACGACAGGTACTTGTCGACGTGGTGATGGCCGTGGGCCGGCGAGTAACGGTCCGTCGTGGCGCAGTGATACCTGTCGCCTCGACCGTATCTGCTGCTGCCACCACTGCCCTCGAGATCGCTGTAGCGATCGCTGCTGCTGCCGCCGTATCTCGTCGGCGCGTGATCGACGTCGGCCAGATGATCGTAGCTGCTCTGCACGGATTTCGACATCTGGTGCTGAGACTGGTGATGAAGGTGCTGGTGGTGCTGATGCTTATTGGAAGACTGCTGCTGCTGCTGCTGCTGCTGCTGTTGGGAGTAACAGTGACCGGACGGATTCGCGCCGTCGGATGTTGGCGATAGGTAGCTGCTACTACCGCCGTTTACGACACTCTGGGAACCAACGGAATTGCCGTAGTGATGATTGGAGCCACCGCCGCTCGTTGCTTCCGTTAACGACGGCGACGAGGACGAGGACAGCAGACGCTCCGTCGACGCGTTGCAAGTATACCTGCGAGGACAACACGTAACGAGGATCGAAATAAGATCGAGATAAAATGGTATACAAAATGAAAGGGTAAAAGAGCAATTCTCTGTCTATTCCGAATTTTTTGACCCAATCTTTTTAAATCAGCTTTTGTGCTGACAGTTAGTTCAGTTCAAATTCAGTTTTAGGCTCCCTGGTAAAAATTGACTTAGCATTAACGTAGATGGGATGAAAAGTAGCTGACCACTTAAAATGGTTAAATTACAATAAATTGGCTCATTATTGACGATTTTCCTATTACAATTATATTATAACTTTTAAATGCCCTGAAAATGACAATATAATTGTTTCAAAAAATTTAAACCAGTTTTCAACCACACTAGCCCGACTTTCAGCCCGCTCTCTTCTTTCTTATCCTGTTTTGCCATTTTTCAATTTTTAAAATAGAAAAATAAAATAAACGAAGATTACATTATGAAATGTAAAAATACGCAATGGGTCGCGGTTTTTCGCCTCAGCACCCCGTCGAGAAAACCAATCAAAATTAGTCTTCAGCCGTCAATTAGGCATTGTCCCGATATAAGTTGACCGCGAGCTGGCGCACTCATGCGCACGATACGTTTTTCGTTTGCTGCTATATATAGCGAAAAAAAATTCGTCGCCTGCTTCACAGACGTTACACTGTAGAAATAATAATAATGGTAATATTTCGGATAACACAAGTGCGCCAGCTCGCGGTCAACTCATATCGGGACAACGCCTAATAGGTTAATATTCCACTTTTCTCAACTTACTACTAGACTCGTATTCGCGTGCCAATAAACAATTGCAAGCTATACTGAACGACCAATCACAGCGCTTATAAACTGCTCGCGATAAAAACCTCACCACTCTTATAGTTAAAAAACCACATTAAATACGATGATTTTACTTTTATAATCTGCCACTAGATGGCGTGTACCTTTATGTGTAAATCTGCAAGTGGAAAAGTGAAAAGAATTGTATGTGTCAGAGCAAGGTGTTTTTGAAACTTCAGCATATTCGTCGAGGGATGTTGTTCTCTATCTATATTTTTATTTGAATTTCAATTCGTGACAAGTGAAAAATCGCCCCAAATCTCGTCTCTGATCAAAAATTTCCAGTCTGAGTTGAGAGAAAATTGCCCATAAACAAAGCTGAAAATTGATTTCGAGCAGCTCACCTGGCTATCTCGACAGTATTGGACTGTCGGACGTCGTGTCCAGTGGTTCCACCAGCTCCGCTCGACAGGTATCTCTGCTCGGCGGCAGCAAACCTATCAAGCGGCCTGCTCTGAGCCGCGAACCTCTGCATGGCCAGATCGTTGAAACGGTCTCCGCTCTGGTACGCCCTGCTCGATCCGCTTCCTCGCTCCGAGCCATTTTGGCCGCCGCCGACGCAGTCCTGGTAAGCTTGATACCTGGCGCCGTAGTCCGGGGCCGGCGAAGCCGACGTCCTTGGGTCGTGAGTTTCGTACTTTTGACAAAGCGACGAGGCTTCGCCCTGGTCCTGCGAGTACCTGCGCTGCTGCTGCTGTGACTCTTGCCCCGAGCTGCCGAGGATCCTCTCGCTCGAGGAGTAGCGGCCTTCCGGATTCGGCGAGCTCGAGACGTACCTCGAGGAGGACGACTCCGAGCACGACGAGCCATGATGGTACCTGTCGTGCAGCGGCGAGGACTTGCTGCCGTTGTTCCCGCTGGCGTTGCCGTTACCGCTGGCGAACCTCTCGGGCACGGGGGCGTGTATCGGCGACGAGCTGAGCAGTCGGTGGCTCTGATGGAGCCCGACGGCGCCGAGGACCGGCGAGGCGAGTAGTCGCTCGGTAGACGAGCTGACGCAGTATCGTTGCTGCTGTCCTGGCTGCTGCTGCTGCTGCTGCTGATCCTTGTTGTTGGCGGTAGCTTCCGATGAGCCGAGCAGTCGTTCCGACGATGCAAACCGTTGCTGTTGCTGCTGGTGGTGGTCCTTGGCCGGTGACGCTGATCTACCGACGAGGAGCTGCTGCTGGGCGATCGCAGAACCGGCGGCAAGAAGACGATCAGCAGCAGTATAACCAACCAGAGACTGTGATGCGCCTGACTGATTGTACTTGTTGGCGCTGTTTGACGATTGCGAGGCCGCGCTGGCGCCTGGGGTGCCTGGCGACAGCGGCGGCGGAGGTACGAAGCAGTCGCTGGCTGGTGCGGGCGACGGCGGAGACGGGAAAGTTTCCGGAGAGAATGTAGGGCCTGCGCCGGAAGGGTGAACAGACCCCCCGCCACCCTGGCCACCCGCAGAGTGCTGCTGGTGGTGGTGGTGGTGGTGGTGTTGATGGTGGAGTACGGCCGCTGCGTTCGCGTACTCGTTGTTCCCGTTGCTGCTTTTTGAGTTTTGCTGCTGCTGCTGATGAGAGCGCTCGGCAGCAGATGGCAATTGGTAAGTATTGGCTTCAGAGGCAGCAGCAGCTTGGCCCGAGACGTATCCATGGCGCACGGCCCCGTAGCGATGGTGCTCGCCCATGAGACTTTGCGATATCTGTCGGGCGAGCAGTGGGTCATTCTGCTGCTGCTGCTGCTGCTGCGACTGCTTGGAGCCTGCGTGATGATGGTAATAGTCGACGTTGTTGCTGTTGCCGTTGTTGCCGGCGGTGCTGCTGTTGTTTCCTCCACCGCCTCCTCCTCCTCCTCCAGCGTGGAGCGGCGAGGCCGAGGGTAACAGCGATTGCTGCTGTTGATTGTTGCTGCTGTATTGGCTACTACTGGATCCTGACTGTTGCTGTTGCTGCTGATGCAGTAAGAGACGTTCTCTTCGGCCATAGTCATCGTCCGTCGGCATCCTGCTGGCCCTGGGCCCGCTGTCAAGACATCTGTTTTCAGAAACACAATAAAAACAAACGAGGTTATTACTCCGTATAAGCTCGATAATTCATACTTAACGTAATTGAAACAACTTTATGGGTACGGTGTTGTTCTTTTTTTTTTTGACCCCGGTCTGCAGTATACTGCAGACAGGCGGCGGGACCGGGAGAAAAAATATACCGACGTCGTTACGGTAAAACGCGAAAAAAGGGATTTTAATTCCTTGTAATATAGTATCCCTGGCTCTCGGTAAGGGCTGTGTGCTACGGATGGAAAGCGAGTAGTAGAGTGGGACGGAGGACGAAAAAAGCCGAGCGCGCGCGAGCCATCGTAAACTCGTATTATGTACAGTATTATACGGCGAATGGCTATACGCCGCTGCTGCTGGGAAAATTAAAAATGACGAGCGCGTATATAATATAATATAGCATATAGCATATACAGCATGCACGCACACACGTACAGGACAAAACGATAAAAGTCATTAGCTCCCTTAGAGCGAGCTTGATTATTCGTAAATTTGCCCGGTCAAGCCTCTTTCTCTCTTTCCCTCTTGCGCGCATTTTTCGACTCATTTTTGTCGTTATATATATACCTATATACACACCCGCATATATACGTATATAGATGTAGCGCCCGGTATTATAGTCGTCTCGGGACGGAAAAACATTAGCCTCACTCGGTGCAGCTGCGCGCGCGGAATTTCTGAAAATGGCCTGGCCGTTCATATTATATACGTTACATATCGCGGTAGTACGGTGCAGTAGGCTGATTAATTGTAGCGGGGTTGTTGATGTTGTTTTTATCGTAGCAAAGTCTGTCGACACAACTCTTTCTCTCTCTAAGATTATATCTGTTGTGTGTGTGTGTGTGTGTGTGGGCTCTGTGTATGACAACAACAATAATAACGATGCGAGCCGCACAACATTGATCGATCCCCGCGTCCGCACGTAATATATTATAAAATTTTCGCTCTTTTGTGCCATGGAATCTTACGCAACTTCGCTTTCATTCGTACCTACATACGTATAAGAAAATGATTCGCTTCACCAACGTCGATTGCGTAAGAAATTTATAACACGTACATATATAGACCTTTTGCGTCTTCAGGTGGTTGCAGTGCTATTGTCGCGGCGGGGGTGACAAAGAAAAAGAAAGCGAAAAGTCCACGCTGCGCCAGCAGAAGCAGCAGCAGAAAAAGAAAAAAACGATGCAAGAAACGAATGGAAAAGTGCGAGTAGTTTCTCGCATTGTCTCAGCGCGCAGAGAGAGAGAGAGAAACGCGAGTCGTAAGGATAAAATGCACCTGCGTGAAGCCAAGAGAGAGAGAGAGAGTCAGAGCGCGCCCGTGAGCTAGAGACGAAGGAGAGAAAAATGACGTTCATACTGTATAACGTTTTACGAGTTATAAAAAAAAAGGGACGAAAAAAAACGAAGAAAGGAGAACAATGGTAGGAATTTCATATTTTACGAGCAAATGTTATGTGTTAGGCATATTCAAAGAGTCGCATATTATAGCAGTATATAGGGGAGGTTTTAGCGCCACATTTATAAATCAGAAATACGGTGTACTTGGAGGTGCAGGAAAAGTTTTTACGATGAACGAACAACAAGAAGGTCTCCATCGTCTATACCATATACCGAAAGAAATTTGTTGCATCGCGCGTCAGAAAAAACTGCGTTTCACGTGTGAAAAATCGTTTCTTATAAAATTTCATTGACCATCTTGCACGAATTTTTGGTTTTCATGGCGCACGAGAACGCGTATTTTTTGCGATACATCATACATTTCCTACCCATATATATATTCCACTATATCCATGACCGCGTATTCGCTTAGTGATCGTTTGGAAGAAATTAGCCAGCGCAAATACTTCATTTTTTACCCCTTTGATAAACGCTGGCATGATCATATCTTTTTCAGATTAAAATATGAAAATTATTTTTAATATAATTTCGAGATAAAATCATTTTTACTGATAAAGGTAAATTACTCGAGTCAATTATAATTGATTGGAACGGGATTTGACAATTAGCTGCCTGAAATTCAATAAAAATATAGGTCGTTAAAAATGCAGCGAAATGAGCGAACACATTTTCATCGAATTTAATAAGTTAAGAAATAATCAGTAAAGTTTATTTTAATTAAATAAGTTTAGAATATTATTGATCGAAAATAACGCCGAGGGATGCCGGGTAATTGAAAATTTGAAATGTTATTGTAAATGGAAAATGGGCGAATATTTCAGCAATGTACTAATTGAATTTATTCGCAATTCTTCACTCTCTTAACAAACTTGCAAAAATGTTTAACCCCCCGGTACATACCCGGAAGTTTTAAAGTTCTTCGCCAAAGATTTTAATCAAAATCATTGATTTTGTTCCCGGAGTAATCATACAGTTTCGCACGCGGAATTTTCTCCTTGGCTTTATTGCTCAAAAAATCGGCTAAATTTTTCGGTCGTGCCCATAAATGCGATACTTATTTATGCAGAAAGAAAATTTCTTCGATATTTACGTATCGTTAATGTCCCCAGAGGTCTCGCTGTTTGTTCAAACAGAACTTTAACCTTTGTATATGTATCGTGCATACAATTCAATCGCTACAGCTGCTATAGAAAAATTTGGTTTCCCTTCACTTTGTAAACTCGTCAATACAGCTCGCGCGGAGCGACTATACACAAAAGCGGCAGCAACGAGAGGCGATGGAATATTCTCGGCTGGATTGGATTTACTCCTCCTCCCCCTTCGTCCATATATGTACGCACTATACATGCAATGCTGAACACGTGTATACAGCATATATGCACACGCGTAATTATTGAATGCGCCAAGCTGCCGCCGACGTTGCCGCCACCGAGGCCAGGCCACGTCGAGATAGAGAACTTGAGCTTTTGTTGGGCGCAGAGCTAGCGCATGCACACGTGTGTTGTGTAAATAAGGTTTCCCAGGTATTATAGGGTACATTCGTTGGCTTTGAATTAGTGATCATTGTTATGAGCCGCCGCTGCTGCTGCCAACGCCGCTCTGTTACTGCTAGAGCCGCGCCGCGCGCTTATTATTACCTCACAAGTGAGTGTACGCGCGTTCGCATGTGCACCACACGCATACGTACACGTATGAAGTTCGCCTAATTACACCTTTGAATCCGTGTTAAAAAATAAGGAAACAGTCGACGGTTAATTAGATCCTTGCACAACATTGTTGGGCAATCGCGCGATATGTATACATTCACATGCCGCGTACAAGCGAAAGCCAGCTCAAAGCATGAAAAAAAAAATATGTGTATGAATATAACGAAGCTCGCACGCTGCCTAGCATATCGAAGAAATAGTATAAAGTCGGTCTTCTGATGTAAAATTAAATCTCGCGGTACGTATCGACTTTCTTTTGCAAACGTAGGATTATAAAAAATTATGAAAAAAAGAAATAAAATGGTATACGCACGCGAGATGGGGGGATTGAAAAAGAAAATTCAATCGAAAATGCGTTATGTAGCTTCGAAAAATAAGTATATTAGATGTGAAAGCTGCCTGCAATCGCGCTCGGTTATTATTATTATTATTATTATTATTATTATAAACGGACGAGAATCGGAGTATAAATATTTGTGCGCTCGCGTGTATCAAAATTATATATAAAAAGCACTACGGTATGAATTCGAAAAAAAGTAAGTATAAAATTTTTCTGCCTTCTCAATTTCCAAGAGCTTTCAAAGATATGAAAAAAATAAAAAGGACAACGTTGCCTTTTCTTACGTTTCGAATAATGATATAAGAGTTCTGAGCCTGAAGAGAGAGCTTTGTGGCGCGATTTTCGATCGAAACCATAATACAGTAGTGACATGACATGTTAGCTGCCGCTGTAACTATACGCGCGCGCTTAGCGTGCCTTGCCGCCTATCGCAATGTTTTTGATGCCTGTTCATGCCTTACTGTATATATATACCTACACTGCACTACACAGACCTATGTCCCATGCATGGGTATATATAAATACATGTCAACGACAGGCACTACTGTGCACATTCTCGAGAGCTAGCAGGCAAAGCAGAGTAGAGCAGAGCAGAGCTCACCCACAAACTTACACACACGCACACACTCACACGTACACATATAGAGGGCATAGATTTCGTGCTCGAGTATCGAAGTGCACGGAGCGTTATATGTGTATACGAGTACGTTCGCCACGAGCTTATACCACCACCACTACTACTACTACTGCAGCTTGGGAGAGAGAGAGCGCCAAATGTTCGGAGGGGGCAGCCAACTTTGTCGGGGGTGAATTGTAATGTATAAGTGTTTGTACAATCCCGTGCACACGCTGCAGCTCTGTCCTGCTTGTTTTCTAGGCAATAGTAGCGGCGAGCTCGCACGTATAGCCATTAGCGAGATAGAGGATAGAAGGATAGAAAGAGAGAGAGAAAGAAAGAGAAGAATATTTGAATCCTAATTTTTACCACCCTACGGTATTGCCTATACGATATAAAATCACATCGAAATTTTTCGAATATCATCGATCCTCTTCACCGCGAGGAGAGAGAGAGAGAGAGAGATGAGCGCGGGAATGACAATACGCGCAAAATATCAATTTATTTTTTTTCACGCAAATCTATATATAGCCATCATATAGCACTCGATAGCAGCAGGCAGAGGCAGTATACCGGCGGCAAGTATCGTCAAACCCACCGCGACCTCGTTGATGCACTCTCTCTTCTCTCTCTCTCTCTCTTTCTCTCTCACTCTACCCCGGAATCGAGAGAAACTGGGTTAAACTGCGGCAACGTTTATTCGCGGCCAATGCACCCGCGCAGCAGCAGCGACACGACCCTCGCTCCACGACTCTCGGCTGACGCACTCCTACTGCTGTGTGCTGTGTGCTATAACCCCCTCATTTTTTTACTTTTTTTTTTTTAACGATCAAGTCGTCCCCTTTTTTTCGGGGTATAGTTTTTTTTCGACTGTTTTTGGGTGGATGCATTCTCGCGAGAGTGTGAGAGAGAGAGAGA